GTCGGTGGCCGCATGTAAAGCGGAAGGCTTCTCTCCTGCTGTGGCTGTTGCCCCTGAAGAAAGGCAGTGGCTGCATCGGCAATCCAACCAACCCATTCAAGGCCTGAGTCAAGGAGTTCCTTGTTGGAGCCGGCCACGAGCATCATGAAGGCAACGTGCTCTGCAGTCCTGCCAGGAGTAGGCGCCTGTCTGTTCAAACTGAACAGGTCTGGATCAGAATGTCCCAGACACACTATCCGACATTTTGCTTTGATTGGGCCAGATCCCCTTGATTTGTCTCTGTAGCACGCACGGCTTCGCAGGATTCTTTTGGCAAGAATTTTGTCGCTCAAGACTCTGTGTGCCTCTTCGTGGCTGAGGGCCTCGACGCTTTGCCATTCTTGCCAGGACTTGGCCTCCTTGTCGATTGCCGCGAGGTAGTCAGGCACATTGGCGCCCTTGATAATGGTGGTCCAGGGAATCTCTCGATCCAGTTGCTTGGCGTCCTTGCGGGAGAGTCTTGCTCCTGCCTGTGGCCCGGTCTCGCCGTCGGAGTCAGAGGTGTCACTCTCACGAGGGTTCTTGCCAACAGGAACGTCTGCCTCCCTGAAGTCGCTTTGTAAGTAAGCCTGGTAGAAGGGCTCACGCTTTGGACCAAAGACGCCAGTGAGGTAGTCTTCGCCAGGTGGTACGCGGTGGACCTCAGAGCCGTCTGCCAAAAGTGTCGTCAGGGAGTCAAAAGGACGTTTCTGAGGAAGTGTAGGTGGTGGCTCTGGAAGTGATGCCGCTTGGGAGCTATTCACCTCTTCTGTTTGTGCCCGTGACGAAGACGAAGCTGATGAGACATCTATCTGTGGCCCACCAGGTAGTACAGAAGTCTGTGGTTGTTGTAGCTGGTCTGAACTTGCTGCTGGTGCTGACCCTGTAACCGAAGTAGCCAAAGGTGCCTCTGAAGCAGGTGCTGGTAGTAGTTCAGGTCCTGTACGCTGAGGTTCTTGTAGCTGCTGTGACGGTTGTGGTTCTTGAGGTTCGTGACCACCAGGTAGTACAGAAGTCTGCGGTTGTTGTAGTTGGTCTGACTCCTGCTCGGCGGTCTCGTCGAGGTAGGCAGCGCTGCCGTACTCTGCGCTGTCAAACGCCGCCGTGCGTAGGTTCTCGTCAAAGGAGGCGCCCGCGGGTAACTGAGGAAGTTCAGGAGGTTGCGGTAGTTCTCGTGGTGGCGGTGCTGGCGACCTGCTCCTCGTGTGTCTTGGAGTTCGCGGTGTCTTGGGCGCGGCGTTGACGGAACGAAGTGGGTCACCAAAACACTGTTGCACGTAGGTTGTCTGCTGAAAGGTAGGGCTCAGCGTGAGGTTGTAGTTGTCGGTTCTCTGAGGTGGTGGTAGCTCAGCTATTGCGCTCTTGTGGTGCTGGAGATCTTGGTGCCACGATGTGTGGAACCGGCGTGTCCAGACCAATGGCCTGCGAAGTAGGTCCTGTCTCCAGCTGCATCTCTTCGAGGTCGTAGAGGGCGTCCGGTAGGTCCTCAGTAGGCTGTGGTCCTCGAAGATCTTGGAAGACGCTCTCCTTGAGGTCGACGGTGGAGTCTTTCAGGCACTGTATGTCTTGTTCGTCTGGACACCAATCCTCGAAGCCCACCGCCTTGCGCACTTGCTCCATCGCCACCAGGATGGTGCTGTTGCCGGAACGTATCCAGCATTGCTTACCTGGATAAGATGGATCGTAGGCCAAGAAGCGGCCCGTTGTCCAGGCGCCTCTTTTACGAAGCCCTCGCCGCCTCCACCACCAGAAAGCGACTCTCTGTCCAGGTTGAAGATCCGGTATTTTCGTGTTGGCAGTCTTGCGCAGTATCGCCCTTTTGAGCCCCTGGTCCACGTTCATGGCGGCCAAGTGGGTCACCGCTTCAGCGCGGACTCGTTCTGCCGCCAAGCCAGGATCAGAAACTGACTGCGCGAGGGAGCCCTCATCGGTCAAGAGGCCGCCCGGAATCCTTGGAACCCTGCCGTAAACTGCCTGGTAGGGGCTCCTTCCCTTCACGGTCACAAAGGAGTTCATGGCATGAAGGGCTCCGGTGAGGACGTAGTCCAATCGGTCAAGGTCATCCACAGCATGATCATTGATAAGTTTCTCCAGGACTGCACGCAACACGCAGTTGCGTCTCTCGACTGTTCCAATCACCCAGTGTGCTTCTGCCGGACAGTACTCGCAATTCACGTTCACGGTGCTCAGTAGCTCCTCAAGCCCGCCTTGGAACAAGGGGTCCGGGTCGAGAAGGAGGCGAACTGGAAGACCGTAAGGGCGCAGCCAAGCGGAATGCAACAAATTGTATGCTTCCCTGGCCGACTTGTTCCGAAGGATAGCTGCTTGGTGGTAGCCGGTTGCTGTGTCGGCCAATCCGAGCACTTGAACTGATGCCCCGCTCAACAGCCTCACCCAAAAGAAATCACCCTGAACAAGATCGCCAAACTGTCCAGCTTGTAGGCTCCATGTCGAAGAGGGTCGCGGCTGCTGGGGACCCGCAAGTCTCTTGCAGGTAGCACAACTGAGTTTCCGCACACACTCCTGGACGCCAGCGCTCGGAACTCCACGGTGGCACAACAATCGGTTGAGCTCTTGGGCGCTGGGATGCCCCAAATTCACATGAAGTCGCGCCACCGATCTCCGGACTGAAATCGGTATCTTGTCGCAGCCTGGGAAGGTCACGTCGGTAGGGAGGCCGCCAATCGGAACCTCTGGTCCTGGGTCCACTTGTGTTGATTGATGAAGTTCATCTGATTGTCGCGAGGAGCCATAGATGAAAACTGCAAACTGCACTGGCTTACTGAATCGGCCTTTCGGTTGTCTCACCTCATCCAGCTGTTCCACTTCCACCAGTCGGGAGC